CCCCCCCCCCCCCGCTGCTTGCGCCCCCTCACCCGCTAGGATGAGTGGTCTTCTTCACGCAGATGCCGGGAAGACGCTGCTGATCTCCGACTCCCCGGGTGCGCCCCACACTCCGGCCACTGGTGATCCATCTTTCTTTGCACTTGCTGTCGGCTGCTAACCTCCCGGCTCTGCCTCGTCATTGGGCCTGCCGCTCAAGATCTGGTGACGTTCATTGCGTCCCAATTCAAGGGTGCCCCCTCGCGACTGTGCATCATCTGTGCGTCATCTCTCTCCCCCCCCCCCTGAGCCTCGCCATTGCCCTCCTGCCCCTGGCTGGCAAACCCCTTCTCTGACGGCATGCTATCTCCCCCCTCGGCCATCCAGCCCGAACCCTGTCAAAGGTGCTGTTCGAGAGAGGCAGAGAGGCTTTCCCCTTGACCTGCTGAGGATCCCCCTCTTTCGCGCCCCTCCTCCTGACACCCTTCGACCCGTCGCCCTTTGCAGAGTGCCCTCGGCCTGCCGGCTGCCGTGAAATTCATCTCCTCCACGACCAAAGACGATGCCACGATCGATGGTCGGCGTGCTGGCCTCGCTCAAGTCCTGAGCCGCCTCGATGACCCGTATCACAACATCATCTTTCACTGCCACGAGTGCGCATGTCCCTTGCCCCGCTCTGTCGGCGGTTTCTCCCGCACTTGCCCCGCCCCCCCCCCCCTACCTCCTCTGTCCACTTCTACAGCCGGCAATCTCACCCCAACTGACCTCAACCCACTCGGAAGGAGCTTCATCGAGGCGCCGCTGGCCAGTCGTAGTGCCGATGCGTGGATTGGACAAATTCTCCCCTGCTTCGGGGAGGTCTTTGCCCTGTTCAAGCATGTGTGGGCCGCCAGCGAGGACAGCCGGCCGACCAATGTCTGCCTGGTTGCCCCGGTGAATGCCCTGGGCAGTGGGCGCCTCGGCGGACACGGTGCCTGGGGTCGCGGCGCCGGCCCCTCGAAGATCTGCATTGCCTACGGTCTGGCGGCTCTCTGCCGGACCATGGCCCGAGAGGGGGAGAGGCTCCAAGTTCGCGTGAATGCCCTCTTCCCGGAGTTCCCGCAATTCCAGTATGCCTCAGGCACACCGTCTGCCCTGCCGGTGGCCCTGCTTCCCGGCCTGGGCGTCTTGCTCGGGGAGCTAGCCCTCACGGATGCTGCCTCGGGGCAGGCGTTCTGCTTCTCTGAAGCCTCGGTTTGTCGCGCCGGCTGGCAGCGCTCGTCCGGGGCGCTGGTCGCTCCGGCTGCCGATCCAACCACCAAGGCTCACCCCACCCCTCAGAGTTTCCTCAACCCCGCATACTCGCCCATCCCCCTGGGGGACTTGCACCGGCGTTGGACCGACGTACGTGTCGAGGGTTTCTTCCCCCCCCCCCCCTGCTCATTTCTCTGTCCACCTCCCTCCTCCCCGCTTCGCCTCGCCGACCGCCCTGGCATTGGTTCCCCCCCCCCCCTCCTCTCCTCTGCCCCGTGTCTCCTCCGAGTCTTGTTGCTTGCCTGACGCTCATCCGACGAGCAGGTTGTTTCCTTCAACGCCGAGAGCGCCTTCCCGGAGACCATCACCGAAGTCGACTGGATTGGCCATCTTGAGGGTGCGACACCCGCCGGGGGATTCCCATGGCCACTTCCAGGCATCTCCCCCCTCTTACCGACACACCTCCTGCTTGTGCCCCCCTCCCAGATGCCCAGGATCTCCCGCAGCCGAAGCCCCTCGCGAAGTTGGACTTGAGCCTGCGCGGACAGGTGGCCCTGGTGACCGGCGCCGGGGCTGGCCTTGGGCGCTTCCATGCGCTGGAGTTGGCGCGCCATGGCGCGGCAGTGGTCGTCAACGACATGAACCTGGACGCCGCGCGCAAGGTTGTCGCCGAGATCGTGTCCCTCGGCGGCCGGGCCGTGCCGGATGGGAATCCCGTCAACACCGCCGGGCATCTGTGTGTGGAGACGGCCATCCGGAACTTCGGCCGGATCGACATCGTGGTGAACAATGCCGGGTGCGCGCATCTGTCGCATCGCCTGCCTCACTGGCTGATGGGCCCCCCTCCCCTCCCTCTCTCTCTCTCTCTCTCTCTCTCTCTCTCTCTTTCCTTCTCCGCTCGCGCGCGCTAATCGCCCTTTCTCCTGTTGGCAGTATCTTGCGTGACCGATCCTTCGCTCGGATGACCGAGCAGGAGTGGGATGCCGTGATGATGGTCCACTTGGCGGGCACGATTGCGGTCACGGCGGCCGCCTGGCCGCACTTCATGCACCAGCGCCATGGCCGAGTGTTCAACACCTCCTCCAGCGTGGGGCTGTACGGCAACTTCGGCCAGGCGAACTACTCCACCGGTATGTGACCGTCCCGCTTTTGAGAGATTGCCCTCCCCACTGCGCGCCACACGAGACCACCCTCCGATTGCTCATCCAGCCTATGTCCGGGTGATTCCCTCGGCCTCGGTTCTCTGCGTCCCCCGCCCTCAGCCAAGGCCGCCATTCATGGTTTCACCGACATGCTGGCCTGCCAGGGCCGCGACTACAACATCACGGCCAACACCCTGTGCCCAAATGCGGGTACCGCCATGACGGCCACCATCCTGCCGGAGGACATGGTTGCCCGTACGCCCTGATGCCCTTCCCTTGCCCTTGCCCTGCCGGTTCTTCCTCCCGCTCTCAGCCGGGGGAGAAGACACGCCTGATCGCCGGGCGCCCTCCCTCCCCCCCGCCACTGACTTCTCGGGGCTGCCACCCCCCGCCCAGGCCTCTCGCCGGCCTATGTTTCGCCGATCCTTGCCCTTCTTTCGGTCTCTGCGTACGTTGTCCCAGCGTCGACTCTCCCTTTGAACAACCTTCCTCCCCCCCCGGTCGGACCTGGCCGATGTTCTGCCTGTTCAAACTCTCACACACTGCTCGTCCCCACCCGTATCCCGGCAGTTGCCAGGTGACGGGCGGCTGCTTCGAGGCCGGGAGCGGCTGGTTTGCGCGCGTCCGCCGAGTCTTCACCCAGCCCGTGGCACTGTCCGCGCGCGGGAATCCCGGCATCATCCAGTCTGTACGTGCTGCGGATGTTGTCACCGCTGCAGGGCCATGTTCGACGATCCGAATGCCTGACATTGACCCCGCCTTCGGCCATTCCTCACCCGGTCTCTGGCTTGGGGCCTCGGCGTCGTGGCGACCCCCACCCGGTCGGTCAGATCCTCGATATGGACCTTTCGGCCAGCGCCGACGACCCCCAGGGCCAAGTTCACGAGCCCATCATCAAGCGCCTGCTCTCGGAGGATGCCTCGGCCACCGCCGGCCGGGGCAGTGACTTCGTGGACATCCTCTGGTCGCGGCGCTTCCGCAGCCCGAAGGCCGAGTTCCTTTTCTCCGAGCGCGACGTGGCACTCTATGCCCTTGGGGTTGGTGCCACCAGCCAGGACTTATCGGTGGTCTACGAGCAGCACGACTACTTCCACTGTCTGCCCACCTTCCCGGTGGTGTGCGCCTTCAATCTGCTCGCATCGATGAATCTCAGCCAGCATCTGCCGAAGTTTGACCTGGTGCGGGGCCACTGGCGCCAATGGCGTCTTCCCTGCTGCCCCCTTCGATTGGCACCGCAATGCTGACCCTCTTGTCCGTGGTAGGCTCGATTGTTGCACGGCGAGCAGCGCATCGAGATCTATGACACCCTCCCCACAAGCGGGGCCCTCAGCTGCCAGGCATACATCATTGATATCCAGGATAAGGGCAAGGTACTTTTGGCCCTTCGCCCCTCTCCCCCCCCCGTCTCGGGCTTTCCCGATGGGCCAGCTCTTGGGATTGCCATGCCTGGCGCAGTTACTGACCCTGCCGCTTGTCCACACTGCCCCAGGGCGCGCTGGTTATTACCGGCGTGGACACTTTCGATGAGAGTGGTCGGCTGATTTTCTTCAATGAATTTGCGGTCTTCATCCGCGGCGCCGGGAAGTACGTCTTTGTGGTGACCCGTCAGGGGGAGCCTTCCCTGACCAAGCGCCCGGTTGCCATGCTCGCCCTTCCCTGACCCGGCATTCATCCGACAACTTGCGCGATCAAGTTTTTCCCGCCGCGACTCGGCCCTCAGTTTGCCGATTCGCCCGGCCCCGGCTGTGGGGCCCGCTGCCCCCAGCAAGTATCTGGTCCAAGTGGCGGCGCCGACCGGGCCCTCGCAGGCGGCATTGTACCGCCTGGCCAGCGGGGACCTGAATCCGCTGCACATTTCACCGGACTTCGCCGAGATCGGCGGCTTCGACCGGCCCATCCTGCACGGCCTGTGCACCTTGGGCGTGGCGGTCCGAGCCATCCTGTCCTACCTCCAGGAGGGCACCGAGGATGACCCGGCAGGCATGGTCCCAGCCCTGCAGGGCCCCTTGCCCGAAGCCACGGCCATCGCCGGGCGCTTTTCCAACCATGTTTTCCCGGGCGACACGCTGGTGGTCCGGTTTTCACCGGATCCCGCCCTTCGCCACCGTGTGCACTTTGAGGCCCAGGTGGCCGGAAGGGAGGCCGAGCGCCCGGCCATCAGTGGCGGTCTGCTGGACCTGAGCTGTAGCGTGCCGACCCCCCGGCGCTCGGTTCGACTGCGGTGCCGTCTCTGAGGGTGTCACCCCGCACCACCGATGGTGGAGCAGCATTTGTGGTTTTGTGCCTCCCCCCCCCCCCCCCCCCCCCCCCCCCCCGGCCGCTCTGCGCTCGCTCCAAACGAGGCCCAGAAAAAGGCAGATGTGATATTAAAGCTCTTCAGTTGTCAAATTCCCTCGCTCGCCCTCTTTCGTGGGGTTCCCCCCTCCCGCGCTGCTTCTCTGTCCATGGGTTTCCCTGGCTTGTGTGTCGACGCTCACTTGGACTTCCCCCCGTTGCTCGATACACCGGGGAGAGAGGGGGGGGGGGGGAGGAGTCCCAATTGGACTTAGGGCGACATTCGTGTGCGTGCATTCCAGGCTCCCGGGGTTTCCTCGCCACAATGGCCACCAACATAAGAGGACAGGCAAGTCGGATTGGAGGATGCCCGGAGAAAGCAACCCATTTAGAAGATCTCCAACAGCCGAATTGAGGTGGTCATGCGGAGGAAGGTGTGGAAGGTGTCGGCCTCCTCGGCCGGGTCCGGGTCGGAGTAGCGCTTGGCGGTACGCTCTGGAAGGGTTGCCTCGCCGGCAAGGAGCTGCAGCAGCAGGGGCTCATAGGCGGAGGCCAGGATCGAGAGGACCGGGGCAAACATGCCCCCCCGGACGGCACTCAACCGGTTCGGGTCCGAACCGATGAATGCCCTCACCTTGGGGGGCATCTTTTTGATGGGCATGTCCGCAAAATAGGAAGCCTGGAAGAGGATGACATTCATGTCATCCCAGCTGACAAGCTGCAGGAAAACAAGGTCTGGGAAGAATCGGCTGAATGCCTGGGGCATTTGCAGGTCCAAGCCAGAGCGCAGGCGAAGGAATGCATCGGAGGGGAGGCGAGGGGGGGGGGGAGGAGAGAGAGAGGCAGGCAGAGAGGAGAGTAGATATGTGAGCCAACAGTGAGGGAGGGGGGGGGGGGAAAGATGGACGAAGAAGAGCACAACCCCGGGCCACGCGACTCATTGCGCACCTGCACAGCACGCGTGTTTATCTGCTGGCCAATCGGGCGGGCATAATGCCAGAGCCCCGGAAGGGGGGTTTGGTGGGCCAAATCAAAGCGTTCGGCCTTCGGCCGGCGCTCGCGCTCGCGGAGAAAGTTCAACGCAGAGCGATACACACGCAGGAGCAGGGCATTTGAGGGGCCGGTCTCCGGGTCCGGCCGATAGGATGGCAGGGTGTGGTATGCCAGGATCGGAGTCCAGCGACCGGTTGCCGGGCACACCATCTCGCTTGGGTGGTAATTGGCCTTGTACACCATCTTCGGGCAGGAAAGAATCAAGAACCCCAGGACATAGTACGGCCAGAGGGGATTGTCGGCGTGCGGGGGGGCCTTGGCCCGAGCGGCGGCCGCCCCGCCAGCCGTGAAGGCAAACCACGGGTCCTCCGGGGTGTGCAGCCGGGCCAGCGCCGCCGCCGAGCTGGGCAGAGACCCCCGCCGGCAGAGCTCAATCTCCAGAAGGGCGGTGATCGCGCCGAAGGAAACCCCCAACCCGGCGGAGGCCGGCACGAAGAAGGAATAGACACTGGACAGGCTATGTGGCAGGACGTCCAACACGCTGACAGCCACCAGGCGGCCGGGCCCGGTGGCATCGACACGCCGGAGCCGGTACTCCAAATGGTAGCTCCCAAGAGGCAGAGCAGGGCCAGTGCGCAGGTCCAAGTCTTCACGGAAGGGCACATCCGGGGCGTTGGCCGCGTAGTCGGCCCCCACGGCCGGCAGGACTCGATCCGAGTTGACATCGTCCAGCCACTGGTCAGGAGTGTCGGAGAAATAGCCAAAGGCCCCGAGCGAGGCCGAGTACTCGGCCGACTCGTGCCCCGGGCCGGCGTACTCCTGCAAGTCCTTCGGAACGGTGTCCCTGAAGGGGCTGCAAGCGATGGGCATCCGGCCCTGTGTCAGTGCTCGGGCATCGGGAGGAAAGCATGGCCCGAGAGGCTGGCGAGGGGCGGCCCAAGGGCAACGCACTTGCTGATGAGGAAGTCGAAATACTGGCTGGCGCCCACCTCGTTGGGCTTGGACTTGTGTGTGCGGATTTGGTAGGCCATGTAGAGGGCATGCGATTCCGCCGAGTAGTAGGCTGGAACCATGCGCGTGACGAGCATGTATTTGGGTTCCGACCCGGAGGCCGGGGCAGCGGGCTCATCGGCATGGCCAGGGGTCTCGGTGACCATGGGCTTATCCGCCGGAGGGGGGTCCTGGCAAAGGAGAATGTTGACATACGGCCCGGCGGCATGGCAAGTGGCATGCATGCCGGGGAGCCCGGCAATCCGGCGATGACTGGCCAGTGCGGCTGACAGGTTGGCCGCCAGACCGGCTGCAATGGCCGGCGGAGGTGGAATCCCACCGCCACCGCCACCGCCAGCACCGGAAGCGCGCATGAGAGCATGCAGGCGAAAGGCCGCGGCACTGGACCAGCAGGCGATCTCGCGCGTGCAAGATTCCCCACTGGCCTGGCACCGTCGTCCGCCAGGGGGCTGGTATGTGCGATTCGGCCCGAGGCGCAGGATGCCGGGATCCGTGGCCTCCAGGCCGGCCTCCATCAGGAGGTCCCCATGGAGACTGCGAAGGGCCTCCGCCAGGAGATCGCCCAGGGAGCCGGGTTGTGGTGCGGCGGCGGCCGAGGGAGCAGCAGCAGTAGCAGCTGCTGCAGCAGTACCCTTGCCTGGGCTGGGGGCGGGGGTACTCGGCTGGATGACGCCCTGCTGAAGCAGACGCTGCAGTCGGCGAAGGGAATTCCGCTGGTCCGAGGTCGGGTGGAATCCATTGGAGAGGGTGGGAAAAAAATGCGAGTGATCGGGGGTCGGAGAGCCCGACAGCAATGCCAAGGTCGATTGGCTCTTGGGGCCAACTTGCAGGCGAATCGGATACTGAGGGCAGCAGGTGGCTAGCAAGTTGGGCCGGTAGAAAAAGCTGCCAGATCGACGGAACCCCACATCCAGCATGACTGCCAGGGTGGCGGTGATGGCGGGAAAGGACGATAACGGACAGGGAGAAGGATTAGTGGGAGGCTCGAAGGGA